CCTCAGAATCCTTAAATACAACTTCCACATCGTCTGAATTTGTATCTTCTTTATCATCAAATACTAGTGGTTTATAGTCTTTCTTAAACCACTCATCCTTCAAAATTTCTAGGATTGTAATGTGCTGAACGAACGTATCAATCATGAAATTGGTAAAAAAAAGAAGAAGAAGAAGAAGCACAAGTTGAAACATAAAGAACATGATGCCAAGCTTCTCTTTTCTTCTTCCTACTGATTTTTTTTTTTTAAAGGAAAAAGTTTGTGTACGAGATAAATTGCATCGGCCTGAAAAAGATCAGTATGCTTATAGTCATAGGATTTGGATTCAGGTCACATTTTCTTTATTATTTCATTGATAGGCATATGTGACCAACTGTTTAGGCATTTGTGACCAATTAGCTGATTTGTGACCAAGAAACTGTGTCCATGTGATCCATATATAAAATGTGACCTGTAATTTGAATTATCTGTGGCCTCGAAATGATTTTTGAAATAATTTGTGACCAACAAAATTTTTATTTGTGACCACAAAATAATTTGTGACAAACTAATTTGACGATATGCGACCAGTTAATGAATCTGTGACCTATAATTATGAATCCGTGACCATTAATCTTGTAACTATGACCTTATTATATTTATTTCATAAATATTTTTAATTGATTAAATATATACCTGAATTATGAATTTTCAAACTTTATACCTGATTTTTGAAATAGTGTAAAGAATACAACTGAAATATGATTTTTTTTCCCAAAAGAATATATGTAAAATATTTTGGATCGTATATTGGATCGGATATCAAATAACATAGCAAATTGGATCAGAGTTTAACAATCAAATATTCGTTGGATTATTGGATCAAATCTGATCGAATTCATGAATTATTCTTATCAGATCACATTGCATATGGTCAGATCCAATCTATATCCTATTCATTTACAACCCTACATTAAGCCCGTTTGGCTTAGATTTTAATCTAAGTCAAGTCAAACAATCAATATTAATCACATTTTTCATGGATGCCACAACTTTTCAAAAATTTCTATCAAAATCTACTAAAATCTAATTTTAATTCACACCAAAAGATATATATATATACACAAGCACGGAGCCAGCACCCGACGAGGGAGCGTGGCCGCGCATGCTGGCTCTGTCGAAATCTGCAAAGCCGCTAGGTCAATGTGGTCGCCGACTCACATGGAGAAGAAGAAAGAAGATAAAACCCTTCTTTCTTTCTTTTTTTTTTGGTTTGGGCTTTAGCACTAAATGTTAAATTTGGGGTTGGGCCTCTTATTATTTAGCCCAAATCTCAAATGAATATATCCAATATATCAACCCATTACCCATAATACCCATTTCATTTCAATCATAGGCACTAGGAAGAGCTGTAGAATTGTGATTTGTGAATTTTCCCCAAATGCCAAACCCTTTTCCTCAAGTCGACCTCACTTCTTCTTTTTCCAAATCCACACCACACGACTTAGGCTAGCTCCAGACTCCAGGAGGCAGACGTCGCAGACAATAGACTCCATCAAAGAACACATGTTGTTGCAACACCGAACCCGAACTATCGAAGTGCTCCAGATTGGTGACTCTTTTTTTTTCCCTCTTTATTTTTTTTTTTTTTGTTTTGTTCTATTTTGATTTAGCTATTTTGATTTTGTTGGATTTTGTTTTGCCCCTGCTACTATACTGTCTACTGTTACTGTGACTATGAGTCTGCCTAATTTGTTTTGATTTTGTTCTGTCTTGGAGTTGTTGATGTTGAGCATTGAATAATTTAATATTAATTATGTTATGATTTATTCATTTGGAAATTTATGTTTTCGAATTGTCATTTATTAATTATGATAAATAATTTACGTTTTATCATGATGAGTTACGATTATAGATTTGGGAATTTATGTTTACGAAATTGTATTGCGAATTATGATTTATGATAAGTAATTTATGTTCTGCTGAGGAATGAATAATGATTTGGGAATTTACATTTAGGAAATTAGGATAAGAATTTACGTTTAATTGACAAAATGTTGGTCGCTCAATTCAACCCATGTGTACTTGGTTATTTTTTTAATTGATGAGTTTGTTTCACTCATGATTTTCGCACAATTTTAGCTTAATTAAATGCTAGATTTTATGAGTATAGAACGTTTTTGATGTGTTTGTTAGTGTTGTTTTGAAGATAAGGAGAAGCGATGTGAAAAGAAGTATTGAAGTGGACGAAGAGGCCAAAAACACGAAATTGGGGCAGAAAGACGACGCTTAGGCGTTGCACTCATAGCGCCTAGGCGCTACAAAACTGAAAAAGATGAGATTTGGACCCGAGAGGCAGCGCCCAGGCGCCACCATAGCACCTAGGCGCTGAAGACATAGCGCCCAAGTGCTATAGCCAGTGCTTAGGCACTGCGATTGACGATTTAGGGCGCATTTTTTTGGGCCGTTTTTAAATCCATAAAAACCCTACTTCTACATAAAACGGAGGTGCACCTATAAATACATTTTCCTCATACTTTTGAAGGGTTCTTGACATATTGGAGAGAAAACAACAAGAAGGGAGATTCAAAGGAGAAATTCAAGAAAATTAACACTAAGAATTGAATATTGGAAGCATTCATTGGAAGAGGAAGGAGATCTTGGTGCAAGAATTCCGCTTTTTCTTCTTCATCTTTATTTCAAACTCGGTGATGTATTCTAAGACAAATTCCTTCTTTTCTTCTTGTATTATGAGTAGCTAAATTCATTGTTAGGGGGAATAACGTAACCAATTGGGATCTTTTACATTTTCTTATTAAGACTTTCAATTTTTAAATCTTCCATGTGTTGATTTTGCTATGAGTTGAATGCATTAAATTATCTGATCAATAATTTGATGATTTTTGTGAATTCTTTACAAATAGAGATATGAGTTTAGGATTTAGACCATGTAGTAAAATCCAATACATTGGTATAACGAGTAGAGATACCTATACCATTTATTGCGGTCATAATTGAATTCTTAAAATATAGAACTCGTTTAACTAAGTTGAATTTGCATAGAGATATGAAATTTAATTAGTTAAATAGGCTCAATGAGAACTCGAGAGGGGTAAATTGAATACAATAGGAGAATTCGACCGAGCGCTACATTAGAATTGAGTTTTAATTTGAGATGTAAATGTGATCAATTGATGAAGTTATTCTACCCTAATATCCATTCATTATTTGATTCTCCAACAAATCGTGTGAACATTCATTTATTTTCTAGAATTTAGATGAAAGCCCAGATTTTATAACCTTTGATTTATATTCGTCAAATAGTAGTTAAAGAAAGACTAAATTAAGTGCTAGAAAATAGTCCTTGTGGGATCGATAACGGGACTCTTAGGTCCACTATTACTTGTTACGGGTTGTACACTTGCGAAACAAAATTCTACAACAAGTTTTTGACGCCATTGCCGGGGACTATTTCTTTTAGTCTTAATTTATTTTTTTATTTTGACTGTTATTTGATTTGTTTATTTTTCTTTTAATTACGGAAAATTGTGTTCGTTGTATGCTCTGTGCCCAAGGCAACGATCTTGAACCGTTTGATTCGGAGATAGAATGTACCTTCAGATGAAGATGCAAGGAACACAAACAAAAATAGCAACATCAAATGGCTGACAATCAACAAATCCATATCCCTATTCAGCCGATTGGGCAAATGGCCGCAAGAGTGGTGGCACCACCGGAACAACAACATGAACGAAGGGAAATAAATGAAGGGGATTTGCCAGTATCAATGTTCCTGACACCTATAGCAGTACCCATGCGCTCCAGTATCGTGTATCCAGATTTTAGGGTAAATAACTTTCAGATCAGGCCAGATTGGATTAACTTGATGAGTAACACCCTGCAATTCTACGGGCTACCTCAAGAGAATCCAAACACGTATATTTCTAGATTTCTTAGAAACTGTCAGAACTTTCATGCTCCGGGAGTCAATGAAGATGCTATTAAACTACGACTATTCCCATTTACATTGAGAGATGTTGCATTGGAGTGGTTAGATGGTGAGCCTCACATTAGCATTACTACATGGGAAGAACTAATCAGGAAGTTCTACGAGGGTAGCTAAAATCATATTAGAAATTCAAACTTTTCAACAGAAAGAGGGAGAATGCTATCACGAAGCATGGAATAGGTTTAATGAGTTGATGAGAAAATGCCCAAACCATGGAATTACTATAGGTAATCAAGTGCACTACTTCTACACTGGACTTACACTACTGTCAAAATCTCAAGTCGATGCCTCATCTGGAGGATCAATTATAGGAAAATCTGTTCAGCAAACCATGGAACCATTTGAGTTGATTGCCACTACACATTCCATGTTCTCATCGGAAAGAGTGGCGCCACCGAAGATAGGATGAATGTATGAGTTAGACAGTGAGGCAACTACCAACGCCCAAATAGTGGCATTGACAAAACAAGTGGAGTTATTGGTGAAATCACAAACGAAAGGAGCACATGTAGTGACAGCTGGTCCATCATGCGAGAACTGCGGGGCTAATCATCTGATAGAAAACTGCACATCTATAGCCTATCTCAACGAGCATGTCAATTTCATTCAGAATGGGTCTCGAAATTTTAATCCATTTGCTCAAACATACAACCCAGGATGGAGACAACACCCAAACTTCAGATGGTCGGATAATCAACAAGAGAACAGTTCAAATAATGCCCAACAGGAGAAAAAACCAAGTTTGGGGGAGATGTTCAACCAGTACATGCAGAAGACCGACATGGTGTTTCAGCAGATTGAAACTAATTTTCAGAATCAGCAAGCATCAATCAAGAAGTTGAAAACACAAATTGGTCAGATAACTCAACAGCTTGCAGAATGCCCACAAGGGACATTGCCAGGCAACACAATGGTCAATCCAAAAGAGCAAGTGCAAGCTATTACTACCAGGAGTGGGGTGCAACTTCCAGAATTATATGTGAAGAGACCTGAATGAAAAGAAAAGGAAATAATGGGTGAAGAGGCTGGGAAAGAAGTAGAGTTTGAACAACCAACTGACAAGAAAAACGAAAGGAAGGAAACACCTGCAGTGAGAGCACCCAGCCCCGTGAAGGCTTATGTGCCACCAATCCCCTTTCCTCAAAGGTTACAAAGAAAGAAGTTGGATAATCAGTTTGCCAAGTTTGTGGAGATTTTCAAGAAACAGCACATCAATATTCCTTTTGCAGACGCAATTGCCCAAATGCCCAGCTATTCAAAATTCTTGAAAGAGATCCTATCTAACAAAAGGAAGCTAGAAGAACATGAGACAGTATGCTTGAACGAGGAGTGTAGTGCAATACTATTGAGAAAGCTACCTCCTAAACTAAAAGACCCAGGGAGTTTCACTATACCTAGCACAATTGGTTCTAATTTCTTTGAACATTCTTTATGTGATTTAGGTGCCAATGTTAATTTGATGCCTCTCTCTGTTTACAGGTCTCTTGGATTAGGAGAAGCAAAACCTACAACAATCTTTTTATAACTGGCCGACAGATCGATCAAACGACCAAAGGGAATTATTGAAGATGTGCTGGTTAAAGTTGACAAATTTATTTTTCCGGCTGATTTCATCATTTTGGACATGGAAGAGGACTCAAATATTCCTCTGATCTTGGGAAGACCGTTCTTGGCTACTGGGAGAGCATTGATTGATGTGTATGATGGAAAAATGATTCTTCAAATGGACAATGAGCAAGTCATATTCAACGTGTTCAAGGCAATGAAACACCCATTGACTTCCGACACTTACTGCCAAGTTGATGTTCTTGAAGAGCAAGTGGCGGATACATTTGATATAGAGCATCACACAAATCTTTGTGAGGCAGAACTTGCACAATTGGAAGCAACAAATGCAGGAAAAGCTGAATGTGTTGTCAACTTAGCCGAGCAACCAATAAGAAGAAGGCATTGGCAGTATGAATCTCTAGGAGACAATCTTTCTCCCCCGGTATCCTCAGTGGAAAAGGCACCCACTCTTGAACTTAAGCCCTTACCTTTCCATCTTCGTTATGCATATTTGGGAGAATCGTCAGCACTGCCAGTAATCATTGCAAATGACATGACAAGGGAAGAGGAGAATAAATTGTTGGAGGTACTCAGGCAACAAAAAATGGCAATTGGATGGACAATAGCAGATATAAGAGGGATCAGTCCAACTCTTTGCATGCACAAGATTCTAATGGAGGACGGGTCAAGGTCATCAGTGGAAGGACAACGCTGATTGAATCTAACCTTAAAAGAAGTCATGCTAAAAGAAGTGCTGAAATTATTGGATGCTGGAATAATTTATCCCATATCTGATAGTTCATGGGTGTATCCTGTACATGTTGTACCTAAAAAGGGTGGAATCACAGTGGAGAAGAACGAGAACAAGCTGATACCAACACGGTTAGTGACAGGGTGGAGAGTATGCATAGATTATAGAAAGCTAAATAATGAAACCAGAAAAGACCATTTTCCATTGCCATTCATTGATCAGATGTTGGAAAGGTTGGCAGGACATTCTCATTATTGCTTTCTGGACGGATATTCAGGGTACAATCAGATAGTAATTGCTCCAGAAGACCAAGAGAAGACAACCTTCACATGCCCTTATGGAACGTTTGCATTTAGGAGAATGCCTTTTGGTTTATGAAATGCACCGACAACCTTTCAACGATGCATGATGGCCATCTTTTCTGACATGGTAGAAAAGTACATTGAGGTTTTTATGGACGATTTTTCTGTGTATAGAGATTCCTTTGACAATTTCTTGGAGCAGTTGGCTCTTGTATTGCAAAGATGTGAGGAGAAGAACCTTGTACTTAATTGGGAAAAATGTCATTTCATGGTAAAGGAAGGAATAGTAATGGGGCATAGAATTTCTGCACAGGGGATTGAAGTGGACAAAGCTAAAATACAGGTGATTGAGAAATTGCAGCCACCTAATTCAATAAAGGGGATCAGGAGTTTTCTGGGACATGCAGGGTTTTATAGAAGATTCATTCAAGAGTTTGTAAAAATTACAAAACCGTTGTGCGACCTGCTGGAAAAAGATATACCCTTTCAATTTTCTTATGAGTGTTCGAAAGCCTTCAACACTTTGAAAGAAAAATTGACATCGGCACCTGTGATAGTGGCTCCAGATTGGGAATTGCCTTTTGAGCTCATGTGTGACGCTAGTGACTTTGCGGTGGGGGCAATGCTTGGACAACACAACTATGCAAGCAAAACATTGAATGATGCTCAGATCAACTATGTAACAACTGAAAAGGAATTGCTTGCAGTTGTTTTTTGATATGATCCAGGAGTCGACCCCGACGAAGGCAAGTGCGAGACGAGACCCGTTGATAGTCGATGGCAGACGAATGACGTGATCAAGGGCAAAGCAAGTGAAACAAGCGATGGGATTGCTCATTCAAGAAACCATTGATGGAACCATGTTCGAGACTCAAAATGGAGCAATTTTCATGTTTGGGTCGAAGGTCAAATCAACTTGGATCAATTTGTTATCAAGCGACGAAACCGGAGGCTGAAAACAAGCATGTGCGACCGTAAAGGCAAAACACCATGCGGCCACACAGTGGCATACCGAAACATAAATTGAGATTTTTTGTTGAACCATGCGGCCGCACAAGCCAAAAATTTGGTGAATTTTCCAATTTTATCAATTTTTCATATTTTGTTAAATTTTGATTCTTTTCCATATTTTGGGGATTATGCTCGACTTTTGCACGATTTTTACCTATTTTTTAGGTTTAGTATAAATAGGAGTTTCCATTCAATTGTTAAAAACCTTTTTGACATTATTGATATTTAATTAAAGTGAGGCGTATTGTCTTTTCTTCATCGTTCTTCATTGAACAATTTCGAACTTATCAAGTGTTAACTTGTGACGTTCAAACAACCGGATTTAATTCTTGGATTACATGATCAAGGGGTCTTTCAAGCGTCGTTCTTGTTGGATTTTTTGGTTCGACTTTCTTTTGGGTTAATCCTAAACTTTGGATTAATATGGCTTTCTTGGGTTCGTCAATCTCGTTGTGGGTTTCGTAGTCAATGTTGCTACGGGGTTCGCATCAGTTGGTATCAGAGCTTTGGCTCCAAATTAATTGAAGGTTATATCTTTTCTTTATTTGTTGAGTCGTTAATTTTGTTTTCTTAGTTTCTTCTTCTATTTTAATTGTTCTTTCTTAGTTCTTCTTCGTCCTTGTTTTTTTCTTCGTTTTGTTGAGTTTTTGGTAGTTTACTCACCTTCTTTCATCAAGGAGTAAAAAAAAAGAGTATAAAAATGAAAAAAAAAAAGTTACNAATTAGGTTCGAGTCTTTCATTCTTCTTTTGAGTCTATTCACATATTCGTGTCAAAACATTCATCTACTCCACTTATTCAAGTTCTTTGAGTCTCGTGGTCTTTGATTAAAATTCGATTTGTGTGAATTACCGGTAAAACAATTGTTTTAGTTCACTTGGTTCTTTGAAGTGCTTGGAGGGAGACTTTGAGGGGTAAAAGGCCAAGTGGTGAGTTTAATAGAGGGAAAAGCCATAGTGAGTGTTTTTCGAGTGAAATCTTTGTGAGGCATAAAAAAATTGTGTGATATAATGTCGGAAAGAGAAGGTTCTAATTCAAACCGAAATGGTAATGACAACAATGCATCGGAGGACATGATAAGGAGGTTTGAAAGGGTACTTGGTGATGTTAGGGAGAAGGTGGATAAGCAACGGGAATGGATGGCACAAATGGGTACTACAATTGCTAATCTTAGTCGGGGACAAGTGGAGATGTCTAATACTAGGGGGCCGGGTAGGCGTGAAACTAGGAGAGGAAGGCGGGATGAGTATCGTAGTGACGAGGATGATTTTGATGAAAATGACATTAATATGAGTCGAGCGAGGCATAGGGGCGATAAGATGGAAAGACGGGGTAGGAATAACTTGGGAGATGAAGTAGATTGAAATTTGGGGAGTATTAAAATGACTATTCCACAATTTAAGGGGAGAAGCAATCCGGAAGCATATTTAGAATGGGAAAGGAAGGTTGAGATGATTTTTGAGTGCTATAATTATTCAGAGAAGAAAAACGTAAAATTGGCGGTGCTTCAATTCGTGGATTACGCGATATCTTGGTGGGATCAAGTACTTACATCACGGCGTAGGGGTCGGGAAAGGCCAATTAGCACTTGGGATGAGTTGAAGATGTTGATGAGGAGGAGGTTTGCTCCAAGTCACTATTATAGGGAAATCCATCAAAAATTACAAGATTTGTATCAAGGATCGAAAAGCGTAGAGGATTATCACAAGGAGATGGAAATTCTTATGATTCGGGCTAATGTGGAGGAAGATCGGGAAGCTACCATGGCACGGTTCTTGAATGGGTTAAATCGGGATATTGCAAACATTGTAGAGTTGCAACATTAAGTGGAAATCGAGGACATGTTACATGTGGCAATGAAGGTCGAGAGGCAATTGAAGAGGAAGGGGATGTCTAGGCAACCGTTAGGTACTTCGACTCCTAATCCAACATGGAAATCGAAGTGGGATGATAACAACAAAAACGGGGCTGTACCTAGAGGTAAAAATGATTGGCAAAAGGACAAGGATGAAAACGCTAGCAAACCAATATCAAAACTGGAGGCACAACCGTCGCGCAATCGGGAGATCAAATGTTTTAGGTGTTTGGGAACGGGGCATATTACTTCTCAATGCCCAAAAAAATGGGCGATGGTGTTGCGGGATAATGGAGAGATTGTGAGCGATAGTGATGGTGAGTTTGATGACATGCCGGCGTTGGAGGGTGTTAGTGAAGAAGAAGAAGTTGAAGGGCCGATTGGGGATCTACTAGTCACAAGGCGAGCTCTCACTACCCACGTCAAAGCGGATGACTTGGAGTTGCAATGGGAGAACATTTTCCACACTCGATGCCACGTCAACAATACGGTATGTAGTGTTATAATTGATGGTGGTAGTTACACTAGTGTAGCTAATGTGTCACTTGTAGAAAAATTGGGTTTAACATTGTTGAGACACCCAAGACCTTATAAATTGCAATGGTTGAATGAGAGTGGCGAGGTGAGGGTGAATCGAAGGGTGTTACTTAATTTGTTAATTGGGAGTTATATGGACGAATTAGTGTGTGATGTGGTGCCAATGCAAGCGGGACATATTTTATTAGGATGACCATGGCAATACGATAGGAAGGCTATGCATGATGGGTACAATAATCGATATAGTTTCATTAAGGATGGAAGGACCATTACTCTTGTGCCATTAACACTGGCGCAAGTCTATGAGGACCAATTAAAATTGAGAAGTGAGGAAGAGAGGAGAGCAAAAGAGTTAGAAAAAATGAGAGCAAATAGTGAGTTGGAGAAAAAGAGAGAAAATGTTGAGTAGTCATTAGAGAGAAAAAGAGAGAGCAATCACAAGAGAGAAAAGAAAGAGAGTGCCCCGAGAGAAGAGAGAAAACACGAGCGAATTTCTTTGCAAAAGAGAGTGATTTGAGGAGG